CCCGCTTCTTGGGGGGGAAAGAGAAGGAAACAGCTTGGAGGTTCCCACAGTTTTGGCTCCCACCTGGCTTCCCCTCCCCCAGTACGCCGGCATCTGCAGGCGTACGCACACTGGTGCCTGCACACGCGGTGCCATGCGCACACGGAAGCACCGGGATGCCTTTACGCCTGCCGGCACACACATACGTCTGCACACACATCTGTGCTTCTATGCACGCACGTGTACACGCGCGCCTGCGCGTCCGCAGCCCCCTTCAGACGGGACCCGAGCGCCATGTGGGGCCACAGGGCCCTCAGACCCCGTCCTGCGAGCGAGCTGCCGTGGGGAGGCACGGGCAGCCCCCGCTCTGGGTCCCATTGCTCAGAGACATGCAGGGACCCCTCAGAGGCACCCAGACCGCCCCAGCCCACTGTGTGGGCACCACAGAGCCGGGGGCTGCTGACACGCGTCGTGTGGCACTGCGGCGTCTCCCGCCCACCCGGTGCCCCGAGCACCGATGCCCACGGCCTGGCTGGATGACGGCCGTCACTTCGAGCAGCGTAACCTTCCCCTAACGAGAGGGGCTGTGTTTGCTTTTGCCGAAAACCACCGTGCCGCAGAGGGCAGTGTGCAATTGGGTTTCTGGTTCTCTGTTACTTGACCTCTTAATATTTAACCAAACAGCAGCATGGCTATGGCTCAGGGCACCCGGAGGGAAGCAGCCGGGATGGAGGCGAAAGCCCCACACAACCCTGGTGTGATGCAACACCCGCAGCCCTGCACGCTCCCACATTTTCTCCCTTTGCTGTTTCCCCCTGCCCTCTCTCTTGGTAGCAGGCACAAAAATGGACATAAAACCTCCCCACCACTGAACTTTCTACTCCATATGTCAAAGTGTCTGTTTTCTTGCAAGCCACCAATGCTGCATCTTCACCAAGGCTCCCCACTGCACCTCATCTACTGCCAAATGGGTCCCATCAGCCCATGGCACGGCAAGGGGACGATGCAGGCAATGTGCTCGCAGCCCGGCACAGCACCGGGAGCATCTTCCCTCCTCCAAGTCCATTCTCGTGGGGGCTTCTGCCAGCCTGGCCCTTCTCCTGCCCCGCGTCCCGTCCCCAGCAGCACACGATAGCAGGGCGGCTCCTCTCCAGTCTCCTGCAGTCACCAGCAACCGCAGCATCCCAGCGCCTCCAGGACCATCAGCTGGGGACCTCCA